TGCTATAGCGGTCGCTGCATTCAAGACACTCCCAGAAAGCCAAGAAAGTCTTTGGGCGGCGACCACGATGATGCCAAACGGGACGGTAATTGACGTAATTCAATTGGCACGAGACCCCGCGCGCACCATGCTGCTTCGTGCGATGATAGAGTCTTGTGGCTATTTACTAACCGCAGACCAGAGAAAACGCCTGGCGGGGGCTGCACTTGAGCTTTCGCAGGATCACGTTTCCTCACCCGTGCTACCCTTCCCCCCCCCCCCCCCCTTTTTTTTTCCTTTTTTTTTTTTTTCTCCTTCCCCCTTTTTATTTGTGTGTGTGTCCGTCTGTCTTTGTGTATGTTGTTTTTGATTTTGTTTTATTACGTTTTTTTTTTTTTGTTTTTTTTTTTTTGTGGAGGAGTAATGAAAAACTACATGATCTTAAACGATGATATAAGCGGGGACTTGAAGAGCAGCAATTATTGAAAAAAGCAGAAGAAGAAAAGGAATCTTAATATATACATGAGTGTATATATTAACTGCGATGGTACGGGAGGGGGATGGTGGCAAATGCGCCTTGAGTGGGAGCAATAGGACGAAGCACAACTCTTGCACCCCTTATTTTGTAGAGATGTATCTTTTTTTTTTTTCTTTTCTTTTTTTCTTTCCCCCCTGTGTGATCTCTACGAGACTCACGGAAAGAGGTACCTTGTGGGCGATTTTCTTTTTTGTTGTTGTTGTTCTTTCTGCGTGCATGTCCGTGTTTATACCTAGTAATACTGGGCAGCGGGGAGACTTGGGAGGAGGGAACACATACCACACATGCGTACGTTTATTACTTAACGGTGTTGTGCACACGATGGCGGCTGCCACACGATGCCTTCAGCAGCCTTGAGGGAAGCGAGGGTTGTGCGTGTGTGAGGGAGGGACGAGGAGGTCTTGTGAAAAGGAAAAAAAAAAAAAAGAGGGGGATGAAGAATAAACAACAGAAGTAAAATAAAATAAAATAAAATAACACAAACGATTGCTGTCGAAACAAAATCAAAAATATATATATATATATATATAAATAAATAAGGTATTGTTATTATACAGGAAAAAACAAAAAAAACAATCAACGACACATACACACCTACACACATGCACATGAGACAATAAAAAAGGGGGACGAAACCGGTTTGCCCACGACGAGTAAATAAATAAAGCAATAAATCAATATGCACTATACATACATACACACATGAAGCTGGAAGGGGGGAAGAAAAAACGCGGAGAAGAAGGGACGGGTGGGATGAGAGGGAATTTGGCCGAGAGGCGCACCGGGCCTTTAGCCACGAGATCAACTGCAGTCGTGCGTGTGTGTGTGCGTTGCACGGCTGAAGGGGGTTCTCTGCGGCCTGAATGTGCAGTCACTCATGTACGCATCTCATTAGTGTTCAAAATGTGCGTTTGCCCCTCCCTTTCCTCCTCAACACTAAACGAGAGGGAACGGAGGGGGAGGGGACACGCAGACATGAGAGAGAGTGACAGAGAGGGGGAGCACCAGCGGCTCCAGCGTGAGGCGATGAGGGGCCCATGGAGGAAGGAAAAACAACAAAAAAACAGAAGGAAGGAAGGAAGGAATAAATAAGAAATAAAATTTAATTTAAAAGAAAGAAAAAGAACAAAGGGAAGAAAAGGAATTAAGAGCCCAACAAACGGAAAGAAAAAAAAAAACATCGAACAAAAATAGTAATAAACTCTCTCTCTCTCTCTCTATTTGTGTGTGTGTGTGTTTGTGTACTTTTCGATTCGCGTGTGATTTGAGAGGAGGACGTTGTTAATATTGTGAGTAGAGGAGGGGGCGGGTGTGTTGAAGGGCACACGGAAATATAAAGAGAGAAAATAAAATAAAATAAATAAATGAAGGGAAGGAAAATTTAACCACCGCCGACAACAAAAAAAAAAAAAGGAAATGAGGATAAATAAATAAAACAGGCACGCCACCCAAAGGAAACTTTTATGCCTTGATGAAAGGAACGAAGAAAAAAAAAAAAAAGAACGAAACAACGACGACGAGGAGGAAAACAAACAAGGTAACAGACTAAATAAATTATGGATTTATAAGGATAAGCATTGCAATGTATTTGACCGGTACATCGACACGTTTATTTGCACCCGACGACATCTTTTTGTTGTTGTTGTTGTGAGCCATTCATTTTTCCACATGGGGAGGGGAGAGGCCAGTGGGTGCGTGTAAAATGCGTGTTGCCCCTGTGCGAAGGAGTTGGTGTGGATTTACTGCAACAATATGCGGTGGTGTGCGGATATGCTCTGTGTGTCGTGTCGTGTCGTGTGGTTGCCCCTGGTCCTCCAGCGGAAGTTGTGAATGAGGGGACTCAAACGGCCTCTCGGTTGTGTGTTTCCTCTAATTTTTTTGGGGGGGAAGGCAATTGTTTAAAGAACACGATCCCATTTTTAAAAAAATCAACAAAAACAAAAACAAAAAATCAAATGCACGCCTACTCACACTTAACACAACGGCGGCAAGGAAAGAATGAAAAAAGAAAGGAAAAAAAAGGGCTCTAATTCCCCTCAATTCTCATCCTTCTCTTGAAAGCAGCTGTGTGGAGGGGAGGGCAGATTTCAGGAGGCTAAAAAAAAAGAAAAGAAAAAAAAGAGAGGAAAGGGAGGAGGGAGGCCAGTGGGGGTGCACAAGGAAGGAAATAAAAATAAAAGGAGAGAGGGAATATATACGAACCGTCTTTTGATGTTTGTGGAGTACGTGAGAAGGGATTTGTGTTTGGAGAGTAGCAGAGGGAACGGAGGGAGAGGGGCAGCGGTTTTTTGGTGCATGCGTGAAGGGTTGTGTGGTAGAAGAGATTGATAAAGACGGTTTGAACAATATGGGTGGCCAATCATTGGACTATTGTAAACAAGACGAAATCCGTTCATTTCAATTCACACACCACGTTACGTTTTTTTTTTTTTTGACCTTTTTCCTTTGTTCCTTTTATTTGGATTTTGCTTTCCCTGGCCCCGTTGCAGTAATCTTTTTGGCTCGGAATGGGCTGCGAGTATCCACGCTATTATTTTTTTTTTTTGCTTCTTTTTTGTTTTTGCCTAAATACTTTTTTCTCTTTATCTCTCTCTCTCTCTCTCTTGCTCTATCTATCTACCTACATTTCTTTCTCTGTGTTTCTGTGTGTTTCTGTGTGTGTGTTTGTGTGTGTGTGTCTGTGTGTGTCTGTGTGTGCGTCTGGATGGCTCCTCCTGGTGGGGCATCTTTCTGAAGCCTGAATCAACCGGCTATAATTTTGCTCTTTGTTCTTTTTTTTTTTTCCGTTTGCTGTTCTTGATGGGGACCTGGGGATGACAAGGGGGACACTCGCAGAGACAGTCACTTAACTGCATGTATATAATATAATATACACGTGTTCTTGTATGACCTTTTTGTAGTGCATTTGATTTTTGTAATTTTTAAGTCGATGATGTTTTCTTCTCGGCTGTTACATCTGCGGCGCACAGTGAGAGGGTTCCGGCAGGCGTCGGCACCACCGAGGGGATTTCTTCGTGATGATCCACTAACACGGTGGTCCGAACGGCTTTTGAATGGTTGGCCAAACCGGTGCCTTCACTCTCATCTATTCGTCGGCCTTGAAGGGTGTACGAGTGCGTTTAATGCAATGAACTCCATTCGCACATGCATGCACTTTGGGACAACATTTCCTCCCTTCTTTCTCTCACTAAAACGTGCCGAAGACATTCGTTCCCTTCACCCTCGTTGCACGGCCGGGAAAACAAATTCAGAGGACTTGACGAGGCCGGGTGCTACGTTGAGCCAAGTGGCCCGCTTTGGGGAAGATTTATTTTTGGATGACCCATCATTTGGGCAAATTCCACTTGTAGCGCTGGAGAATTACACGAATAGGTCGGAGAGTATTCTTTCCTGCCGCCTTTCCTCCTCGGCACGTATTGTAGTGGGCCATGAGAACAATGGAGTGAGCAGGAAATACATCGACAAGATGGACGTGAGCGGCGGGAAAGGCTGTCGTGCGGAACGGGTCGTGTACGTCCCACAGTATGGAACAATCAGTTCACTTAACGTGGTGACTTCTATGGGTATCGCCCTCTTTTACGCCACGCTGGATGCCCGCTACCCATCGGCAAGATCGTTATTGCGTGATACAGAGGACGGTAGGGAGAATGGAAGCGGCCATGAGTTGGATGAACTTCATGCGTATCAGCGCTTCTTTCGTCAGCAGATTCCCCGTACTGCCGCCGAATGCAACTCCTCGCGTGTGGATCAAAGACCCATTCACCCTTTGTACTACAAAAAAGATGCTACTGGCATTCTTGAAATGCATCGTCATCTTCGACAGCTAATGCTGCGAGTTTGTTCCCACAGACGCTTTTCATCATCGCCTGGACGGTTTGGCTTGTTTGTGGTTTATGAGAACGAGAGAGATCAGCGCAGTTTTGCCGGCATTGTTCGTAATGCCAACGCCTTTCTTGTGGATCAGGTGCTGTATTTTGGGAGGAAAAAGATTAATGTCGTAGGAACGGTCGGAACGCAGCATTACACTCCCCCTGTGTACTTGGGTCCTTTTGATGTTGAAGACGGCAGCGATGCCGAGACGTGGGCGACAAAGCTGCTTCAACGCGTCGAGCTGGAAAACGGTGGAAATATTTCCTGGTGGTTTCTTGACTGCGGACATGCGTTTCTTTACATGGATTCTACGTCTGTCAATGAGACAGCAAAGGAACCGGAAAAAATGGAAACAAGGGATTCCGTGGAGGCGTTGACTTGGTACAATACACACCGCGCCGATCCAGATTTCACTCTTAGTCTATGTGACACCGAAGAGAGAATACGTGAGACGGCACAAGGCGGGGTAGTACTTCTTGTGCCACAGGAAGGAATTTTGCCGACTTTTTGCTTACTGCAACGTTGCCAAAAGATTTTGACTTTGTTGCCATATGCTGAAAACACGGAGGGCAGCGCGGGTTTGCCGGTTTCCGTGGCCGCAGGTGTTGCTCTTCAGCGCCTCAGCGCAGTGATGCATCCTCGGGTATCGATCTTTTAGTGCTCTTTGTTCCTGTATGCATCCCTGCGTCTGGCAGTGCATGCTTTTTGTGCTATTTTTACCAGTGGCCATGGAAATTATGCATATATACAATACCACTAATAATACGCGCCTACGTGATGTTTTGAATGAAAGCGGGCATATCGCGTTGAAGTAAACGGCGAAGAACCAAAATTATTTATAATGTTTTTTTTTTTTTTTGTGGTGCAGTATGCATTGAAGTATATCTTTTTATTCCATTTTTTATTTTATTTTTTTTTGCTTTGTGGGTATATATTTATATTTACTTACTTAAGTACTCTTTCAACAAGGGCGTCTCTAGCTACCGGCATTAAACCATAGAAGGGTGAAATTGTGAGGGGGTGGGAGAAGGGGGAAGAAAATCGCACACGAAAGCAGGGTGAAGAAACAGAAGGGAAGGGAATTGTAAACAGAGTAAAAGAAAGACAAAAACAAATTTCCTGTGTGTTTTTGAAGAAAGGCATTGCATGCGATCCCCTCATGGAAAATGAAAAGTTAATTTGGGCTGGTGTCGGCCTATTCACTATGGCATCGTTTATTTATCTTCAGGGGCCCCTGTTGTCTTCACGGGGCCGTAGTTCGACGCGTCAAATGCGTGGAGAACGCACAAATTCAAGGCAGCGTCATCACACATTGACATCTATCGCGCCTTCTGAACGAATTGATCGCTCTCGTGGCAGTGCAATTTCAAAAAAGGAGTTGAGCAACGGTCGTCTTGACGGAAAAAGTGGGGATGCTGTTTTTGCTTCTATTTTCGAACACCAAAGCGTATCGCCTCCCCCACGGAAAGTAAGTGCGAGTGGCTCTCCTTTAGAGACGGATGTGTCTTATCAATCCCCTAACGCCAACAAAATTGTCCCCGCACAGCACACCGCAAGGCACCGGGTAATGAGCTCGCAGCCTACAAGCGTTGTTCCCGCTCAAGCGGAGAAACGCCGAGTTAGGACGGGGCGTTCAACACAGACTGATAACTCTACGTGGGAAGAGTTGTGCCGTCTTGAGGCTCTCATCGCAGCTCAAGGTGGCGGTGATCCACTTGGTTTTATCAGCCCCATTGCCTGTAAGGACAAGGACATTGGGTCGCCTATTTCACCCGCGGCATTGTATTTCTCACCTCCAGAGCAGGAGAAGAAAAAAAGTGGCCCTTTACTTCCCCCCTCTTTGGAACGTGGTGTTGAAATGGAGTTGACGAAACGTGTGGGGGCAGTGCATTCGCATTCAGCTGGTGCCAGAGAATGGCTTGACCTGTACAACTTTCTCATAGATATTCCTTGCAGTGTCCTCCAGTACATTTGGAGGAAGAAATCCTTGGGATTATTTCTTCCTCCCCTATCCTCTCCACCAGCTGCAATGCTAGACAACCCAGCTGAAGAAGTGGATTCGCTTTGGCGAATTCAGGAACACGTTTTGCGTCTTGTGAATCGTGAGCCTTGTCAAGTTCCAAAGAATGGTCATTTCAGGCTCTCAGAGGACGGGGTGAATGTCGTTTGGTGTCCAAAGGAAGGAAAGAAATCGGAAAAAATGGGAAGATTTACTCATGTTTGTGTCTTTTCAAGCGATGAGGATGAAGAAGGAAGAGATGACGATACTGACACCGGTGTAGCTGAGCGTGTTGAAAAGGTACTGTTGGCTTGTCGACAAGCGAGGATGCATTCTCTTTCAACGCAGTTTCCCGAAGAATCCACGGGAGTTGTCAATGAACCAGTAAATCAACCCCAGGTAGCAACGAGGTTCCCATTTGAGGAGAGGGATGTGATGGCGTTGCTTGGAAATTTGGTGAAACTACGAAACCATGCCTCCTTTGATGCGTTGCGACGCAGTGGCACTGACATATCTTTTGTAGTTGGCGTAATTGATCTCATGAACGACGCACAAAGGTTACTTGATAGAGCGGCTATTTGGATGAATTCCATAGAGGAGACAACCAAACCGTATATGAAACCCCCACCAGAGTCTCGATTAATGCCATCCGCCCACCGCATTTTGGGAAAGGAGTCAAAGTTGGGCCAGGAAGAGTTGGCTCTGACGTCGCCGGATGCACGGTGTGCAGGGCGTGACGCGCAGGTGGTGCTTCGTGGAAGCGCCACTAATGGCACCGGAAAGCTTTTGAAAAATCAACAAAACGCGCCTTCTTTTCCCCACTTTGGTCATGAAAACTCCGCGGCAACACCGCCCCGCAACGGTGGCCCGGATTCATTTGCAAGATTTTTGAGTGCCTCGACGATTCCGTCTGCAGTTTTGGACGAAAATGAGCGACGGCGCACGTCGTTTGCACGATCCAGAACGCAGGTCGTTATAGAAAATGCTTCGAGTATTCTTTCGGAGAATAACAGCAGCAACGGGGCACATTTGAGAAACAACGTCTTTGACAGACTCTACACGCCCCCAAAAAATGCATTAAAAACGAATTCGCAAGCTACACCGCCCATTTCAGGAGGGAAGAAGGCTCCATTTAACGTTTACGTGTGAGTTTTCGCACTTTTCCGGATTTTTTTTATTTATTTTGATTGTTCTTTATTTTGTAAAATATTTTTTCTTCTCTGTGAGTTTTTCTGTGCATGTGTGTGTGTCTGTGTGTCTTGGGGTAGGTGAATGCACATACCCTTAATATTGTGGCTCCCCGTGTGTGTGGAGGTGTATGAGTGGGGTGTCAGGTGTGATTGGCTGCCACTGAAGAAGGGTGGGCATTTGTGCACCGTATCCATCGCTCTTGTGTTTTTATGCAAAGGCACACGTTTTCGTACGCCGGAAAAAGAGAAAGATCAAATAGGTGATTGGGGGGAATAAGAATGATATGGGGCGATGATTTTTTCACACGCCATTTTTCTTTTTTAACTACTTTTTTGTTGTTGTTGCTGCGTGTCTTTTTTTTTTTTACATTTTTTTGTTTGTTGTGTTCTTTTTGAAATTACGAACCACATCCGCAGGAAAAGGGAAAAAGCAAAGCAAAACAAAAATTAAAAGACACTTTTTTTTTTCCGTATTATTGGGGTTTATGTACGTGGAGTATTGGACGGTGATTTTTTACTTGTTTTTGCTGCGTCGCGTTTCATTGGAGGCTATTTTGAGGTCAGTTAGAAAAGGTGGAGACATCGTGGCCACTTTTTTTCCTTTTTTCTGTGTGTGTGTGTGCGTGTTGGGTAATGAGCCACGCCGAGCACCTCGGTACAGCCTTTGCGAACATTGTTTATGCCTTTTTGATCACCATTGACACTGAGGATTATGACGCGTTTATCTGCCGAATGTTTGAGCGGGAGTCTCGCGAAAAGAGGACGTTGATTGCATTTCTTATGAAAAAGAGGGCGGTTTATTTTTCACTCTTGAATAATGTTTTGGAAAAGGAGGAAGGCGCTGAGGGGGAAGGGAGCCGCCTCGCCGATAGCTGGAACCAGGACAGCGAAAGACGGAGCTTCAGGTTTCCGCAGGAGATGCCGGATGCACCTGTGGTGGGATCCTTAGAGCGAAATATGGCAATAAATGACGTTGTGTCGCAATTAACGATTGTACGGAATGCCTTTTTGGAAAATATTTTAAAAATCCCGGGAACCGTTCCATCTGGGAGGCCTCCTGCCATACACCGATCACTGCAACAGATACCAAATGTCTCTTTGAACACATTGGTGGAAGGTGTGACTAAGACAATAATGGACGTAGTTTTGTCCCTGTGCAATAAAATAGAGCAGAAATACTCTTCAAGCCTTTTTTCACGGCCAATAGTGTTGGCTGATCGGAGCTTAAGAAGCGATTGCACCGGTCAGGGAGACTGCACTCTCATACAAATGCTCAGTAGTGCGGTGGAAATTATTTGGGCATATAGTCTGTATTTTATTTTAGCCTCTAAGGACGTTGTCCATCTTCCATCAGGAGGTTTTGTACAATGTAGTCGATTTCTTTTGTGTGACCTTTCAATGAATTCTGTAGGCGAGACGACTAGTTCCCGTCCCTCTCTTTGTGACCTGCCACCGGTATTTTTTCTTTCTTTTGACCTCGCCATGAAGTTGGAGGAACATTTTCACGGTATTCTCACTTCGGGGAACGTTTTATCGACACCGTCAGGAATGCACCTTTTGTTACTGAGCTGCTCATGCTACGAGCTGCTTACCCAAGTGGATGAAACTTTAACTGAGGATGTTTGGAGGGGAATGATCAATACATGTGCGTCCGTTATGAAACTCACACGTCGATCTTCTCAGGACTGGGAGGATGTGGATTGGAGCAATCTTATTCATGAAGCGGATCCATCCCACAGCACTGCGGATCATGGATGTCTTGTGCAGGATTTGATCTTTATTTGGAGGCGGCAACACGGATGGTGGGGAACTTCAATGGATGATAAATCACATGTTGCGGATAATTTACGGGCAAATAGTCTTCCAATTTTTCTTAGAGAATATCCATCATCTTTTTTCTCATCCCGTTTTAAGGAAACGATCGCCATCGTTTTAGATGTCTGCGGGCTATCAAAGACGAGCAACGGCGGTAAAAATGAAAGGACAATAGGAGATATTTTTAGTGGATTGTATCGCTGCATGATGCATTTATGTTATATTTTCAATCATCGTGTGGCTACACATGCTTTACTGAACGATCTTCTTGATCTCCTTCGAAAGATGTTGCTGCTTTCGAAGAAAGAGAGGCGATTAAAAGAGTTGGTGACAATTGTTCTTTCCTTATGCCTCCTTCCTCAATCATTCCCTCACGGCAGTGCCTACTCTGATACGCAGCAGCAACAGTGTGTATGCACAAAAAAAGTGGTGGAGAGTTTGTTGGACGAAATTGACAACTGGCGTAAAGCTAAAAATGCCATCTGCTACGCACTTTCAATGGCAGCACTTCTTAGCAGGTGTTCTCTAAAGGAATTGGAGCGGAGGCTGCCTCTGTTTTTTGCCACCATGGAGTCATGGTTTGCGTCGGCAAATAACATGGAAAGAATTGCTATCCTTCACTCCACACTGCACGCCGGGGGATTGCTGTGTGACGTGTGCGCCAATAATGATTCTGCCTCCCCGTACAAGTGGAATGATTCTATTTCGAGCTTTTTTCATTCCGTGGAAAAGATGTTGCTAAACGGAATTGGTTCTAAGCCGTGGAAGAACGCACCTTTCAGTTCTTCCTGCATTGAAATTGCTTCGGATCTTTTGGTTTTCACACTGCAGCAGGAACCATTTCAGTCATCGGCACTCCATTGGCTAGCGAGGCTAATGGAAACGAAAGCGAAGTCAAGAACCCTATCGAAGAGCGGAATCAGCGCCGTCGTTACCCGTGGTCGATTGATAGCCATAAGAACCATTTGGGCCCTTTTTGAGTTGTATTACTGTGGGAGTCACGCCCTTGTTAGACACGGAGGACTTGCCGCAAAAGAAATCTTTTTGGCCTGCAGCCATACGAGTGAGAACAGGAAGAGGCTTTGTGCCCTGTATAACACACCCCTTGATCAAAAGGGTTCTATAAAAGAGACAATAATTGGATTTATTGCGCTTCACGGGACGTGCTACAGACCGGTGGTGGCCACTGTGGAGGCTCTTGCGATATTTTGGCGAGGGGGGCATTTAAAAAATGTGATTAATTTTGTGAGGACAAGCGAGGAGACTCGGCAGGGGATCACTGAACTTCGCGAGGCCGCCTTTCATTATGCCGGGCAGATCCATAAGAACGGATATTCTGAAGAAAACATGGAGTACGCCCACCAACTGGTTCCCATTTTTCTAATTGCTCGTTTTTGGGATCCGCCGCAGGTGCTGCTGGAGTATAACCTTGCACTTCCAATGTTACTCGTGGGACCAAAGACGCCATTGTATGATGCAGTGTCAAACATTGTGTTTCCATTTTACTTTCTTAAGAGGAATGAAAAAGGCATGTGGAGTTGTGCTCTCGCCCTACACCGACTAGTAGAATGCATCATTGTGTTATTGGGCAATGATGAGGATGACCGTGTGGCACATCTAGCGGAGTACGTGGCATTGAACCTTATGAACCTGCGGGATAGAATGGAGTCCCTTGTGAATGAAGAATTGTGCGCAGTGAAACCCGAGGAAAATGGCGTGGCAGGTTTCTCCTTTAGTAAGAATTCTTATGATAAGGAGTCTTACCATAAGAAACTGGCCTCTTGTCGCAGCAAGTGGGCATGGCTGTTGAATGTATTGGATATGAGTCCACTGAGTCCCAAAGAGTCGCTCTCTTCAACGGATTCACAGAATTGGTGTGCCGTCCCCGCTGTGCGCAACGCGGCTCTTGTAGACTTGCTGGAAGGACTGGCAGTCGTACTATTGGGCCACACAAAACTGCAGGTGCGCCGAAATGCGTTATTTCTTCTGGAGTTGGTTTCTTCCCTTTTGCGTTTGCAGCGAATTCATTGCGGGGCAACATCACAGGTAACCGACAGTTCACTCCTTGATGACAACCATTACAACGCACACGACCCGATGCTATCCACACTAAAAGCAAGCAGACCTTCTGTGGGCGCTGAGGAGCCTCGCTATCCGCGTGTTGCGGTAGCAGATATTTTTGAAGAACTAGGAGAACAGTTTGACGAAATGTACGCCTCGAATAAGGAACGCTACGTGCCTCTTGTTCATGTTTTTGAAGGACGATTGCCCAGTTTGGCAAGCTCCATAAATGATAAATTAACCGAGGATGCAAAGCATAAGGTCTCAAGGGACGCGTGGCCGAAGCCGAGCTTTTATCACAAGGTCCTCGATTGCCTGCATCCATCAACAATTGGACGTGAAAGCACGCTGACTGCCACGTCGTTTGGTGTACATTGCCTCTCTGATGATGGGACCACACCCCACTTTGTTTTTGTTTCCACCACCGCACTGGCGCTCCTGATGTATGGCTATTGCCCAGGTTCTGTGCTGGTGCGTGTGGTGTGTGCAATTGCGGGAGAGATAGTTGAAAGAGGAGTTAAGCGGTACATCGAGCGAAGTTCACCTGTTTGGAGGTCCTGCTATGCGTTGAATTTTCTTTTGCTGTGTGTTGATAATGTGAAGTCATCCCCGGATGCCAACCGGTTAACACGTGGGGGCGAGCGGAACCGCCCAGGGCATCAACAAGGCGGCAACTCTACATTTGTGGGTGGTACCGATGATTTGAAGGATGTAGACTGGCAAATTGTGAACCGCTATGCGGCGTATCAAAACCTTATGAACGTTGTCACGGTGCCTCTTCTTTTGAATGAAATCAACACGGAGAACATCCCACCATGTTTTTTGGATATGATGCAATATTTACTTCTTGGTCCAATGGAATGCGTCGCGACGGGAAATACATCTCTTGTAACTTACTGTGGTGTAATGGATAGCGACCATCCCATCGTAACGGCAATGC